GAGGAAAACAATTGTTGAAAAGCTTGAGGAAACGAACCGACAAGTGTGTAATCTTTTGCAGTGAGCACTTCCGAGGTACGCAGTTTCCCATCGTCAGCAATAGTGAAAATCTCTGTGTCGCCAACCCGATTAGACAGTAATGTTAGTCGAGGACGTTCAAACTCTACAAGAGCAGATCGCCTGGTTATGAAGAGTTTTTTTTTTTTGCGTTTATTAGCCAAAAAATTGATACCGTTTCTCGACGTGAATTATCTGTTAGTGTGAAAAATTTTCAATTTTAGCTCAAAAATCACAATGTTGTTTCATGCAGTGAAACATTCACAACAAGTTTACACTGTATAGAAATTTAACTTTTCGATTCCGCCTGGAAATTTGACTTCTTAATAACAAAATGAAAATTATTTCCGTGCCACAACACTGATGTTCTGTGTTGATCAATTAAGCAATCCAAGCCACAGCATAATAATACGTACTGATGGAATAAAAATCATGTATGAATGTTCCGACTGGAGCATCTTTCGGAACACTAAACAAGTAGTTCGACTGCGTGAAGTACTCCCATTGGCGATGGGTTGATGCCATGTGAAAAGTTATGCTCTGCTCAGCATATTTCGGCGGTTTTCCGTTATCTGTTGCGCGCACTCGAATCGTTCTTGCTGTTCGAATACGATGAAGCAATGATATTGCTCCTGNNNAATACTGACCAGTAAATGAATTGATTTCGAATGTTTCGTTGTCATTGCCCGCAACGATTGTATAGTTGATAAGAGCATTTTCAGCGTAATCATCATCTTTTGCCACGACGTAATGAATGATTCCATTGGATGGTATCTCGTCACTCACCGAAATGTTCGTCGAACTGAACGCAAAAATTCACTGATTTATTCATCAAATATGCAGCAAGAACAGAAATTTAAACAAGAAATTCAAGTGCACTATTCATTCAAAAACCAACAGCAATTGTTTTATGTTCCATTGAACTTTAAATGTCCGTGCACAAGCAACAACAGTAATGAGCACAGTCTCAAAATTCAATTGTAAAAGGAATTACCTCAGAAACTGGGGAGTGTTGTTATTGACATCCTTAACCTCAATGAAAATCGCACACGTGGATCGTTTTCGATTGAGCACTTCACTTGCATGATCTTGCGCTTCCACAACAACCAGCATCGAATGATCCTTCAAGTAATAAATTGATCTCGTTAGCATCATTGCTATCGACAATACGATTAGGGCTGTCGTCATCGGTGTCAGAATTATCATCCTCATTATTTTTGTCATCAGTAAGTATTATTACCGCTATGAATACATTTGTTGCGGTGCATTGGATAAATGCAAAAGTTAACAGGAGCGAATCATGTTCTCACCTTGCTCCAGTCAAGAGATCGTGTCAAGTAAACATCTCCCGAGGTTGCGTCGATCGAAATCGGTGAATTTGTTGAATTAATAATTCGATATGTAACTTGTCCATCAAGTCCCCAATCCGCATCAATAGCACCAACTTTCGTCACAAGTGTTCCTTAACAATTCGAATATCTTTTTGCATCATACATTGATCTGCTCATCTATTAGATCAAATAAGATTGATGCTTTTTTTTCCGGCAGCAATTTCAGAGAAACAACAAACCAATTCGTTCATCTTCTTGAATTGTCACAGGAAGAGGACAATCGCGAAAAACAGGTCTGTGTAAATTTTGCTGTTCAATATCGAAGTAGACCATGAAATTTTGCTGTGAATAATCCGGCACTGATACACGTTTCACGCCCAATACGAATGAAGTTGAATTGAGCAGTGCGAAATTCGATGTGGAATACAGTGATGAGGTCAATTCATCCAACTGAACGATATCCGTCTGCAAATAACATTCCAGTTCAATTTCCCTTGTCACTGTACATCAAACTCTACTTTTTATGTCCATAAATAACAACGATTCTTACTGCTGACGTGCTAAGATGCACAGTAAAATCAAAATTGATTAGTCACCTCATTAATAAGACGCCAGAATGCTTGATCTGATTGCTTCCCAACTGTTGTGAGTTTAGTTCCAACAGGTACAGTCCTCGATAGCCTTCAAATTATCAAAAGTCAACAAACGTGATGCATTCATGATTTCATAACGATTTTGCAATAGGAGTTAACGTTTCAGATCGCAGTATGCAGATAGCAGTGACCTTACCGAGAAATTTTGCACACCCTTTCTGGGGAGTTTATGAATGAAACAACACATTTTGATCAGCAAACCTTAAAAATACAGTCGAGTTGTTGAAATCCAACGCCTTCCTCTCCAACGGAGCAATAGTGAAAATCAACTGACGCTTTCGACCATCCGAATCATAAGCCGTCAACGACAGTAGTCGACTCATTTTGAAGAAATTTTCATCGAATTTCGATGTTGTCCATAGTGCATCCTTTTTGACGGTGAAGAAATGCGATATTTCTTAAGGTATAAATCGTACTAACAGATGATTTCGAGAATGCTGTTAGAAGGAATCTTTCGATAAGCAATACTGTGAAGAACGCAATATTCTATACTTTAATGAGGACAACTCATACTTTCTTTCAATCGTTCAAGAATCAACGCTGAAGATATTGTCAATGATTGATAATCCAAGAAACGAATCNGTGCTACTTGATGTTATTCATCACCACGATATGCCAACAAAAGCGTAACATTCGATGCGATACGGAAAAATTATGAAAGCGATAAAAGATTTCACGGAACTCCAACCTTATCATCCTATCAATTGGTTCGACGAATTTCACCTTCGACTGAATTTTTTCGAAATTGATTCTTATTTGACAGACCGCTGATCTAGCATCCTTACCGTTGTCTGATGCAATCACAGACAAACGATACTCTTTGCCAGCGACAAACTGCGATATTTTACGTTTAAGCATCACTTCACCTAGAAAACAAAACTTTGCTTGTGCATATGCTTGCATAGCCGACAGAAAACAAATGGTCAAGTGAGGAAAGCTTTCTTGCAGAAACCTGTCTGCATCTCTGAAAGCACAAACGTTGACGATATGGAATTGAATTTGTTTGATCAACGATACGAAAACAGAAAAACAAAGTTTCAAAAGTTTCTTATTTCACTGACCACTCGACTTGACAGTGAAATAAGGATCTTCGTTTTGGATACGGTACGTGATTGTGCCGTTGGGACCGTGATCAGAGTCTGTTGCAGTGATCGAGCCAAACGTTACGTTAGGTGCAGTGTCGTCATTGAGGGTCAACGGCACAACGGATGAGCAATTCGGTGAATTGTCATTAACATCGAGTACGTTTATTTGTAGTGTTGCATTCGATGATAGCGGTGGCTGCAGTCAAAAAATTATTTGCATTTGGAACTGATTTAATTTAGTTTCATTGACGCTTTCAATATTTTCGTTGAGGAAATAACTCATTGAGGACCACTTTTCTCTTGCGTAAAATGTGTACATTGAAAAACAATGAAGTTATTCTTTTTGAGCAATGATTAGAAGTGAAACATCCAAAATGATGTTGTCAATCAGCATTCAGGCTTTCATATCAGACTGCAGGTAAATTCAGACACATTTCATTCAGCCATAAACGTAAAATTTTTCTAGGATGAGCTTAATATCAAATACTCACTTGACCATTATCAGACGCGATAACCACCAAGCGATACTCGGAGACCTTCTCACGATCCAGTACACTTTTCACGTAGACATTACCCGAATTCGAATGGATACCGAATTCCGGTATCTCATCAGCAATTCGAAAACTGATTTTCCCGTTGTGTTCGGAATCGGCATCTTTTGCCCTCATCGTCACGATGTCAGTCATTAACGCAGCATCCTCTGACACCTGAACGTATATGAGAGAGAAGATAAGAGTTTAAAAATTCTACCGAATACTGTTCCAATTGACCGACATTAACTGATGTTAAAAATTTGTCACAAATAAAAACTGATAAACAATTTTAATGAACTCAATAACGAGTGCCCAAATAAACAACCTCAACGATGTACAGATGCATGTCGAACTGCGGTGCATTATCATTCACGTCGATCACATTCAGAACCACGGTTATGTTACTCGACCGTGGTGGTATGCCTTGGTCTCGTGCTTTGATCACCAACTCATATCTGGTTATCTTTTCATAATCCAAACTCGCACTCAATGCTAATTCACCTGTGAGCGGTCGCACTGCAACTGGACACGATGGATCAGCGTGCACCAAAGAGTACGTTATTTCACCGTTCTGAAATTTTCACGATTGTCTGTGACCTCACTGGCGATCCATATTAGCACGGTTGACATAAGGGATGACACCTCGAAAATTACACAGTGGAAATACGATTCCTTTTTTGGACAGATACCCAAATGAAGTTTTTGATTTATTCGTCACCTTTCCACGATCATGATCAA